AGAATCGAGAGGCAAGCCAGAAATTTGAGGACCAAGAGGGCCGGTAATATCAAGAAGAGGCCCAAGACCCGTCCAATTGTCCTGCCAAAACCTCGCAGTAATGCCAGACCCCAATTCGCAAACAAGGAATGGTCTAGCCAACGGTCTAAGCTTGCAAAGCTTTCTCCAAATCCAACTATCAGAGGAGGCTGGGTTTAAGTCCCAGAAGCATCTATTACCAATCAAATTCAAGCGGACCCAAGATACCCAAAGAGAGCCAGCAGCAGAAAACAGAATCCAAATCAACTTTAGAGCTAGTACCTTGTTCCATGAAGTTAGTCTTCTGAGACCCAAACCACCGCATTCCTTTGAAGTACAAACAACATCCCACGCTATTTTTGCCCCTCTTGGAGAATCTGGAGTACCTTTCCAAAGGAAAGCACAACACATCTGTTCAAGTTTGAGAAGACATTGGTTTGGTAGAAGAAAAATGGAAGTCCAAAAGGTGATAGTAGAGAAGATAACAGATTTGAGAAGTTGAAGTCTCCCAGCATAGGAGAGGTGTCTTGCTGTCCATGAAGAGAATCTATTATTAATCCTGTCAATGAGTGGATGGTAGTCTTGTCTACGCATCTTTTGTGCCATTAATGGGACTCCAAGAATACGAACCTGGAGAGATCCATGAGTTAAATCAAAAAGGGCTGCCATGTTTCTGTTTCTTTGAAAGTCCCCTCCATCAAGCAAGAGGGCAGTCTTTTGTGTATTTATCCCCAGACCATAACCGCATTTAAAGTTTTCTAAGATCTGAAGAATACCCGCAATCGAGGTCTCTGTACCATCAAAAAAGATTAACAAATCATCGGCGAAGCTGAGATGTGTCACCAAAGGAGCAAAGCACTTTGGATGAGGTTGAAAAAGACCATTAGCAGCTCCTTTGTCCAATGATCTAGCCAAAATATCCGTAATAAGAACAAATAGGTGGGATGACATAGGGTCGCCTTGCCTAATACCTTTCTTTCCTTTGAAGAAACCAATCAGTTCTCCATTGAAGGCAACACTGTAAGAGGGAGATGAGATGCAGACTCGAATCCAACCTATGAAAACCTCAGGCAGCTGCAATGCCTTTAAAATATTAAAGAGGAAAGTCCAATTGACATTATCATAAGCTTTTGAAATATCGATTTGCAAGCAGTCTCTTGACACATTCCCCTCAGCTTGGAAATTCTCAACCAATTCTGAAGCGAGCAAAAAATTCTCACAGAGAAGCCTTCCTTTAATAAAACCTACTTGGTTACCTTGGACTGCTTTTGAGATGAAGAGCTGAAGCCGCTTGGATAACAGGCGAGTGATGATTTTGTACACTGTATTACAGCAGGAGACAGGTATGAACTTGGATAAATGATCTGCACCAGTCTCTTTCGGTATCAGCATGATAGCAGTTGCATTAAAATTTGGTAGTAGGTGACCAGTCACAAAAAATTCTCTCACTGCCTTGATAGTGCAGTCCTTGACCACAGGCCAAGCCTCCCAGAAAAAATCTTCAGAAAACCCATCTGGGCCAGGAACTTTGTTTTTTGGCATGGAGAAAATTGTTTTAATGATCTCTTCATCAGTAGGGTTGGCGATGCTCTTAGAAGCAAGATCAGAATCGCAGCGGAAAGGCTGAAGATCTTGGATTCTTTCAACAGAGTAAGGCTGAGAAATGGCACTCTCAGTTCCCAATAGATGAGTAAAGTAAGCAACGATCATGTCTTTGATCTGAGGCACATTTTCCACTCTTTCGTTGTTTGGCCCTCTAAGGTAAGAGATGAGGTTTCTGGCTTGATGAGCAAGGACTGTCCTGTGGAAAAATCTTGTATTTGCATCCCCTTATTTTAACCATTTGATCCTGGATTTTTGCTTGTAGAAGGATTCCAAGGCTGCAGCAAAAAAGTTCCATTTTTTCCTAGCAACATGTTCTTCTCTGAATAAAGAATCCGATGGAGAGGATAGTAAATCGGTCTGGATGATCTCCAGGGAGACCAGAGCGTCTTTGGTTCTCTGCTGGATGTTACCAAACCCCATCCTATTCAATCTCTTACAGCACTTCTTAGCCGCCTTTAACCGTTCTCCCAAAGAGAACATAGAAGACCCCACAAGAATCTGATCTTCCCAAGCAGAAGAGATGGATGAGAGAAAAGTCGGGTGGGTAGAGAGGAAAGAGAAGTACCTGAAACATTTTTTTGATCTTTCAGGAAGAATATCAATATTGATGATGCAAGGAGCATCATCCGAATCTCCAGGAGGGTCGAAAACAGCCACATCGTTGGGGAAAGAAGAAAGCCACTCTCGATTGGCTAAAGCCCTGTCCAGTTTTCTGATAATAGGGTTGTCATCCTGATGGTTAGACCAAGTAAAAAAGACACCCTTGCTAGGGATGTCGTCCAGCTCATTATCCCTTAGGCAATTCTGCAGGTCCTCCATTCCACTTAAAGGTAATGAAGAATGAATGACAGAGAAGTGTTCAGCGGAGTTTGCGATCTGATTAAAATCTCCCATTACTGCCCAAGGAGTAGAATTGAGAGGGGAAGAAGAGGCCAAGAAGGAATATCATCACATAAAGTCTTCTCTCTATCGGTGTGTTTTTCCCATAAACAAAAGCGATCGCAAAGGATCGGCAAACAGTAGGCAGCTTTATACTGCAAATAATCATCTGATCTGATTTCTTGAAGACCACAACTGAAACTGAGGGATGTCAAACAAGCCAAATCCTACCCAGTTCAGAAGAATAATAGTTATTATCCGATCGCCAACCTGGTAGAACAGAAGCTAAAACAGCAGATGCATTAGCTTCAGAAACATGAGTTTCCAAAAAAGAACCTACGAGTAAATTGTTCGAAGCAATCCAACTTCTGACCATACTCTTACGGCCATGGCTATTTAAACCTCTAATATTCTAACAAAAAACCCCTCATTGAACACAAAAAAGAGGGGTGAAAGATTCAAAGAGATTGGTGGACGATGTGAGTTTGGTGATGCACGAAAGATTCAAAGAGATTAACGGAGCTTTGGAGTCTTTGGTGTTGATGATGAGAGAAGACTATGCTGCGGTAGTCATGGTGTTGACTAGAGAAGAGAGAGGATGAGAGGTAACGAGGAAGATGAAGGAGGCGAGAGAGAAAAAAAAAAAAAGAGAGAGCGGCTAGGGTTTTTTTTTTTTTTTTAGATAAAAGCCTGCTATGATACCATGTAGGTTTTGTGAAAGCTTGATTTCTATTAATCATAAGAGAGGAGTATTTATACATAAGACACATTCCATATTCTATACGTATATTCTAGAATATTCACAAGAGATCCTAACAAACTGGAGATACAACGTTTTATTCCACATAGTTAAGCTTTCTAACCCCAAACTTCCTACGTTTTTAGAGAGATGTACTCAGACCCGGCCCGTCTATAAAGCAAGCAAAACACTTGCTTTAGGCCACACAATATAAATAAAATTTGAGGGCCACGGTTATGATAGTGTTAGGTTGGTAAAGTGGCTATGTAGGTCTGCAGATTGTGTGAGGTTTCAGGGTTCGAGTCAACTCTCAGTTTCTCACGCTTCTATTCTTTTTTTGGTTAATATTTTTTCACTTTCCTGTATTTCTTTTTTCCATAATTATCTTTTTATTCTTCTTCTCTTCATAGTAGTTTCCTTTACTTTATCTATACATTTTGTTTGCTTGATAAAGTCATACACCTTTATAAACAAACCTAAAATCATAACAATAAATTTGGAATAATTCGGTGGTTCACTTCAATTTTTTCTATCTCTTAGAAAATCGCTTTCCCTTCTCTTTTCTTCTAGACAAATCTGCCGCTTAATTAACGTTTTTGTCTCCGACCAGCGTGTGTGAGCCACCACATTCGTGGCGTCGGTTCGACTTTTGGCTTACGCTTAGTTAATTAGCTTTATTTTCATGTTTTACGTTGTTAACATATTTAATAACGTTTTTCATCAACTATATTTAATGATTTTTAACATTTTTTCCAGTGGTTTAATATTAAATTTTATCGTTAGTTATTTATATAAGAAGGCCACATTTTTAAAATATGCTTTAGGCCACCTACAGGCTAGGACCGGCCTTGGATGTACTGTGTTCAAAGATATACTTTCGTCCCTGAAAATCATAAAATGCCACTTGTTGGTGTCGTATAATGAGATGTGATATTCTTTCCCACGATCAACTTTATGCATGACTTTAGGTGAAATATGCTTCGAGGCTTGGTGAAAAGATAACGTTCTTCAGCATGTTTTTATCTCCACCAATATAATAGGACCAGTTGAGATTTGTACGTGGTTGTGGTTGGGAGGCATTCATTGCCAGCTTAAGAGACAAAAAGCTGTGAAAGTCTCTAAACCTCCAAAGTAATTCTGAAAAGACCGACAAAATGTGATTTAATTTTATGATTTTGATTGGTACCATGTACTGTTGTGGTATAGGATGTACTTCTTTGACATTTGTCAATCACAAAAACAATTCTAAAAACTTTACTTTCAGTTTTTTATATAGTTTTCATGTACTACTCATTTTTACAATTTTGCAATATTCCATAGAAGTTTACTGCTCTAGTTTACCGCTAAATTTTTTGTTACCAATCGACCCTATAGCTTTTAGAGCGATAAATCTTGTGAGAGATTCTTTATGGTTCTATCGTATATATAGTGAACTTCGTAAAACTCGATAGAGTCTCTTAATTAAGTATCTAGTAATCTTTTCTTTGAAGAAAAAGCCTATTCCTTGCCTGTTTAAATCTTTTATTTTTTCATAGGCCAAGAGTACTAATAATAAATTAAAAGTGTCACATAAAACCAAAAGAGAATATTTAATTTTTTTTTTCTTTTTGAATTTAATGTTAAATAGTATTCAAAAGAAAAATAAAAAACGTTTGTACAACTAGTGCATCGTTTTGCTGATAAGAAAAGCCGAGAAAGAAAATTAAAATTTTACAACAAGCAAATCAACCATAGAGTTGGATCCATAACCGAAAGAGAATTAATTAAACGAGAAACAATTTTACTATGCAAACAGCGTAGATCACAACTTAAACATGCACAAAGCCATTACATTATGAAACTTTATTCCCATAGTTTCTTTTCTTAAACTTAAGGCACTTCATCACAAACGCACCATGGTTAACTTATAGTCATATATACACCTTAAGTGTAGATATAGATGCAATCATACATGGTGGTTGATACATTATGTAGATTTAGTGACCAGGCTGAGTCTGAACAGCTTCTCCGGCATATGAACAACACCTTGAGCAGCCACGGTAACCTTTGTAGCAGCAGCCGTGGCGGCAGTAACCTCCCCCTCCTCCGCGTCGCCCACCGCCCCCTCCTCCTCCTCCTCCTCCTCCTTGGTATCCTCCTCCTCCGTGGCCACCGTGGCCTCCTCCCCCTCCGCTGTAGCCTCCATTGTCACCGTAGCGACCACCATGTTGATCAGGTTGCACAGTTTCCTCACTCTCTGACTTCACCGCGCCTGACCAAAACACCACATTATTTCAAAGATGTACTTTAGCTCGTGCAATTGTGCATTACTTAATATCTATTTTAAAATAAATTTATATAAAAATTAAGATCTTGTAATTTCTTTTTAAATGATTTAAAACCTAGATATAAGTTACATATAAAATTCGTACAGAACATAAATAATGGATATTGTTTGATATATGAGCATTGCAACAAGGATTCAACATCATACTTAAGTGTCTTTTCTTACGAGTGTTTTGACTTAGTAAGTCCTAATAATTGACCGTCGTTCAAACCACTTTCCAGATTTAAACTGTTGAGAGATCAACCGAAAATGAATCAAGACAATTGTTCATATTATTAGAACTAATAAGAAACTTAATTACTTCTATTTGTATTTATTATAGTTTGAGATATATAGGTATATTTCTACTTCTGTATAAGTGAATATATTTTGTAACAACTCTTGACGAAATAGCTAGAAAAATATCTAATATCGGTACGTTATATATTTTTTGGTTTAATTAGCCTCAAATGAACTTTTTCTTAAATAGCCTTGAATGTATGAAGTAGACTGACATATATATATATATAACACGTACCCGCTGCGGCCATTTCTGAGACGATGAAAAGAAATGCAAAGAGACCCAAAAGAAGCAAAGTCTTGGAAGCCATTTTCTTACAAATACTACTTAAAACACACTCTTTTTAATGGAAGAACAAGTGATGAATAATATGTCACCATGCATGCTCTCTATTTATAAAGAAAATGAGGAGGAGGGAATGAGAAAAGTCAAATAAACTAATCCAGTCCAAAGTATTTTAATAATTAAAAAGAAAATGTTAAAAGGGAACATATTGAAGGAAAATTTGAGCCTATAACCATCAAAAATTTAATAATTCAACAAATAACCATAAAAAAATTGGGTTATAATATTTGGCATACATTGTGTAATATATACATATTTACCCTTGTTGTGATACACCACGTAACACCATGTCTTTAACCTCAAACTATCATCTCTTTCTCTTCCTATTCTTATTTTTTTTCTTTTCCTGCAACTTATTTCACGACGTCATATCTCTCTCCGTCATCGCCCAAAAACAGTCAACAACGACACCAACATAATAGTCTATAAGTCCTCCTCCTTAAGGAGATGATGATGTAATCATCAGTAAATGTTCGATCGTCCTATTCCGATGTTGCGTCCGATTCCGATGTTGTAAAATCTTATCCGATTGCCACTTTGTGTAGATGTAGAAGTCACAGCCATTGCGGAGCTACCATTAAAATGATTTGATTTGGTAGACGAATTAACCCATTGTCTCGGCCCGCTCCATGACCTTCGTACTAAATAGAACACTACAATGTTCTATTCTATTTTCTAAATAAATTCATTATTTTCAATTTTAAAATTTATTGATATCATCAATTTTAAAAAATATGTTTTGGGTTTGGGTTTAGACGGTTGGATTTAGGGTTTAGTATTTTTAAGTTTAAGTTGATTTATATATAATTTTTAAAAAATAGTATAGTACAACATATATTTTGTGTGATCCTATATAGTATAAAATATGTTTTTTTGTTACAAAGACTATTTACCACGTAAAATGTTTATGTCTGTTTTGAAAAATTCAACCTATGATATAATCAAAAAAAAAATCTAAACTTTTTCTAATAGAACTGACAATTTTAATTAATTTATTTTTAAGAACTTTTCTGAAAACAAATATGAGGGGGTAAACGTTTTTTTGTTCAAAGTTCAAACAAAAAAAAAATTAAATAACAAAATGAATATTCCTCTTTTCCAGCACCTATCAGACGTGTACTACACATATGGGTAGTTTTGTCATTTTACAATGTATGATGGTTATGTATTTTGTTTTCAAAATTAAGGTGCTATATTCTTAATTTATTTACCAGATTTGGTTATACACTTAAATCACCCAATATTGAATCACAATAAAAAAAAAAACAAAGTGGTAAGGAGATAAGTATCAAAGTATGTATACGGTGTCTGGTCCCGTATGGTTTGGTTGTTGGATTTACTGTGAATAAGTTTGAAACTCCATAAATAACAAAACCCCACAAGTGTTTTAGATCTTTTCTTATCAGCGTCATCACATACGTATAGAGAACTATTATTGGATGATCAAGTAATTATATATTCTTTAAATGTTTTTGTAGTAATTTTCTCTTATTATTATTTGGAAGTCGTTCACTATTTATACTTTTAACTTTCAATGATTCTGTCAAAAATCTCAGCCGACAGATTTTAAACAGCCGGATAAAGCAAAATTTATATGCAGTGAAAGGACTGACTTTAAAAGGAGAAATTTTTTTCTTGGCTAGTTTCAACGTGTATACGAATGTCCTAATTGATTTTTTAAATTGAAAAGTTGCTTGGCTATAGTTAACTCAAGCCGGCTGTGATCAAAGTATCCATCTACGTCACCTAAGCTAAAATTAGGCTTGAGTATATGTGTAGTTGCCAATAGCCCAATAGACATGTGAATCCGTGGTATACGAACATATTTACTAATTATATCATCTGCAATCACCTGAGAGTGGGACTTTGCCCCTCGTTACCTACCTAACAAACTTCTTACAGTCGATTAATAGCTGGTAATAGACCGGCCTTTGGGCCAAGCCTATCAAACATATGCTTGTGGTCCTAAATATTATCGTTAATTTTTGGCTGATTTTTTTAAAAAATGTTTCTTTAGTTTAGTAGTTCAACTAAGTTTGGTTGAGACTCATTTCTGAGTTCGATCCACGAAAATGTTTCATTTATAATTTTTTAAAAACAAAACATTATTATATTCTTAATAAAATTATTAAAAAACAATGAAACAAATATTAAAAATGGATTGAAAAGAAAAAAAAACAATAGGTGGTTCCTCATCTTCTTCCTCCTATCGGCCCTTTTTTTCCTTGCTTGCGGCCTTGATAAACTTAGAGCCGGCTCTAGCAGGTAAAATTCATTAATGGATTCTTGATGTCATGAAATGAAGTATTACTCAAAGTATATTCGTCAAAAAAAAGGGAAGAGTGAATAATTGGGGTAATTGGGTAAAGTAAATATAGATTGGGTACCTGAAATTACTCTCTAACTAATGGCATAGCTGGAAATATATCGAGTAAAGTTCGTGTTCGATTCGGATGATTTGGTTGATACATATAAATTTAGGACTTACATCTTTAATTTCTTTCTATAGAGGGTTTGTCAACTAAAATTTTGATTAAAAGCAATACATGATTGATAGATATAAATGAAATGAATATTGATGCAACAATATGACGAATGCAATGGTTACGGTTATTCGAGTTTTGCTCATTTTTGAACCTTATCGGCTGATTTTGATTAATTAAATGCACGTTTGTTGGTTTTGAACCGAAAAAAAAAAAATGCTTGTTGGATCATAAGGAACTTAGACCGAACACTTGTGTTTATCTCAACACTTAGTCTTGTCACTTGTGTTGGCAGTGCCGGCCCAAAGTTATCTGATGCCTAAAGCAAACCAAAAATTATTGCCCCATATTTTTTTTTCGCATAACAAAACAACATAATTCTTTGAAACTTAATCTTTCAGATTTCTAACTAAGTGACAAGTGGGAAAGTTTGGAAATGATTCATACATGAAAAAAAAACCCAAAAAGACAGAAATTGAAGGTAGAAGGGAAAACTGGTTTAATAGATTAAAGAAAAAAAGAGGAACACAAATCGTCACTTAGTAAATTAGGTTTTGAAAACAAATCAAATTGTTTAATAAATAATTTAATCAATCCAATATAAATAATATATAAAAGGAAACTGAAGTTCGAAACTTCAAATAATCGATTAGATTTTAAATAAATAAGAAAAATATTCGTTTTGGAAAAAAAAAAAAAAGAGAAAGAATGGACTCGAACCTGAGTTATGGAGGTTGGACAAAATATGATTTACCACTACACTACTAGACACTTACAAAAATGATGCCCATAAAATAATTTATAAAGTGTGCTGCCTAAAGCATTTGCTTGTTGGACTTTAGCCATGGGCCGGCCCTGTGTGTTGGGGTGAGAAGTAACTGAATCTTAAGATAGAGAAACGTATCTCGTTTAGGGTTTTGAGATGCATGCAAGGTTAACCAGGTTAGTCTCAGTATGCATATAAGTCCACATGGATAATAATTTAGATGTGACCTGATCAGTACTTCTTAAATGGATGATAAAATAGAGGTTGGATCGTGCCGGTTCATACATTTCAAATGCCTTGGGGCAAATATAAAAGATATGCCCCGTAACATCACAACATATTTTTTCATGGATCTCTTCGATTAACAAAAATATTTTGTGCCCATTTGATATATACCAAAAAAAATTGTGCCCTTTTTGTATATATAAATTTTTTCTTGTGCCTCATTTATATATACACATTACTTTTTTTATGCCCTTTAAATTTATGTACATGGGGCGGTCGCACTACCGGCCTATATAGTTAAGCCGGCCCTGCATGCTAGCAAGGACCGGTCGCCTCATGTAACATCAAGTAAGCAGAAATTCGTTTTTGAAACATTCATATCTTTCCTCGATCCAAAATATAATGAGCTAACTGAGATCGTACAAGCCTCCCCAATACTGAGCGTTCACGTATCTAGTTATGTTTTGGTTCTTTCAATTCTCAACTTTATGATCCATATATGAAGCGATGGAAAATTAGTTCGGTCCGGTTTGGGTACCATTCGGTTCGGATAGTTGAATATAATCAAGAACAAATAAGGAACCGAAATATTTCGAGTATTTTTTTGTTCCGGTATAAAATACTCGAATAACCAAATAAAATACCGAATAACCAAAAAATATCATGTATGTTTGTGTATCTATATAGACATTTTCAAAGTGCATTTGGAGAGAAATCTTTGCCCTTTGAAAGTATTTACTCAAAATGCGACTGGCGGGTCGGGCAAAATTGAAATCGGGTCACAAAATTTTCGAAAATCTTTAATGGATATTCTCACCAACAATTACCATTTATCTCGCTTTCCATAACTAAATCTGTTCTTGGTACGATTTTTATATATAAAGAAATCAAATATTGTTGTATACCACATAACGGATGGACTCTATAACCGTGGCCCATGTCCATGTTCTAGAAGGCCCATGTCCATGTTCTAGAAGGCCCATGTCTAACTTCTAGAAGACTCGCCCAATGACGGTTTATGTTAGTCTTAGTGGGCTTTGGGCTTTAGGGTTTCCTAGTCCAATTGGGATTTGTCTTCCTTATTGTGTATATATATAAGTTGTAACCTCATTCATTAATAAAAGAGAATACACGAGATTCATAACACGTTATCAGCACGATAACCTCTAAATCCCTTGGTTAAAGATCTGACACATAAACCATAATCTCACGATCTCTCTATCTCCATCAAACCCCTAAAACGCAAAGAAATCTGCCTCGGAACTTCAAAGAGGTCATTCTATCAAATCGTGAGGACCCAGAAAACGATCAAGATATCAAATCGAAGCCCTCGCCGAGACGAATCCATCAGTGCAAACGACTTGTCGATCTGACCATCGACGCGCCCTCACGCACAGATACAGTGTGCGCCGATTTGTTTAGAAAACCCTAGCTCGTCCGGCCGTTTGCTTTCTCCTTTGCTCGGCGATTCCTTCCAAGGACAATACGCTCGTGACAAGTTGATAACCGAGGTCTTTAGCTCCCGGTTCTAATCCATCCAACCCCAAAGGTGAAAGGTAAAACAACAAACC